AAGGTCATCTGATTATCCAAGATAGTACAAGGATTTGGCTTTAAAGAGGCACCCCCAGGGGATAAGACCAAGACCATCAGTACCATGAACCAGCTAGCTTCCACAGACTGTAGGGTTGTTGTTGTTAGGTAGTCAAGTCAGTTTCAAATCACAGCCGACTATAGAAACACTGCTCAGTGCTGCTTCTTCACAACTGCTGTCATGTTTGGTTCCGCTGTTATGCCACTAGGTTAGGGTCTTCACTTTTCTGCCGTCCCTCCACTTTACTAAGTGTGATAACCTTCTTCAGGCACTGGTCCTTCCTGACAACACGTCCACAGTACAAAGGACAAAGTCTGGTCACCCTTGCTTCCAAGGAGCGATCTGGCCATACGTCTGCCAAAACAGATTCCTGTGTTCTTCTGGCAGGCAATGGTACAGTCAATATTCTTCTGTCAACTCCCTAACTCACATGCATCTATTCTTCGTTGGGCTTCCTTATTCACAGTCCAACTTTCACATGCGTATGAGGTGACTGAAAATAAAATCATTCAGGTGACTACTGTTAAGTGCTGTCAAGTTTGTTCCAACATCACAGCAGCCCTGTGGCACTGCGGGTTAATGTGCTGGACTGAAAGGCTGGTTTGACCTGTAAGGTTAGTGGTTCAAGCTCAGCAGCCACTTCTCAGAAACCCTTTACAGCTCGGAACCGATGCGAAAGCACTAAACGACAAGAACAGCATATGGTTTCTGAGGAGTGGTTGGTGGACCTGAAACACCAACCCTGTGGTCAGCAGTCTAGTGCTTATTCCACAGTGCCAATCAGTACTCCATGTCTTGGGTTAGGCACACCTTAGTCCTCAGACCGACATCTTTGCTTTTTAACACTTTAAAAAGGTCTTTTACAACAGATTTGCATATTGCAATATGTCATTTGACTTCTTGACTTTTGCTTTCAACAGCATCGGTTACGGATCAAAGCCTTGGCAACTTCAATCTTTTCTCCATTATCATAATGTTATTGGTCCAGTTGTGAGGATTTTTGTTTATGGATGTATTTTAGTAATTTGGACAGCCAAAATGCAGGTCTGAAATCCAGGTTGTCAGGGGCTGTCTGTATATTATTATAGGGGCGCTGGTGGCGCTGTGGGTCAGGCTTTGGGCTGCTAATTGTTAGGTCATCATTTAAACCCAGCAACCTCTCTGAGGGAGAAACACGAGGCTTGCTGCTCCCATAAAGATTTACTGTCCTCTGAAAATCCCACCTACTTCCCAGGATTTTAATAAGAATCAAATGGAAAAATGTTTGTGAGAGTGCTAAGAATAAGAAACTTGCTCTTGAGCACAGAGAGGCTAAAACACATGGAAAAATGTGCTGAACAGAAAATTTCAAAGAGCAGCTCAAGACAAAGTCAAGTGTCACAATGGAATGTACAAAGACCTGTAGTCAGAACACCAAAAGAGAAGAACAAGCTTAGCATTTTTCACGCTGAAAGAACCAAAGAAAAAATTCAAGCCTCTGGTTGCAATATTGAGGGATTCTAATAGGTTCCTGGTGTGATGCTGTAGGATCAGCACTGCACTGTGAACCACAAGGTCAGCAGTTCAAACCTTGCTCCTCAGAAATCCTATACAGGGCCGATATGAGTCAGAACCAACTTGACGGCACTTAACAACAAGGGTAAAATAATGAATGATGCAGGAAGCATTCAAAGAAGATGGGAGGGATACGGAGTCACTGTACCAAAAAGAATTGATAGAATGCTTCAATTTCTTCCTCATTGGCTTTATGGCTTGGGCATACATTTGAATCTTCGTCCTATTAACTGGTGTTCCTTACAGGCATATGGATATTATCATATCACAGACAAAGCTGTACTTTAACATAGATCTTGAAATGCTCTTTCTGATGAATCTGACGCATTCCTAGAATAGTAAGCCACATAAGTGTCAGATTCAAAACCATCATTTCAGCTCACTAATGCCTGTGGTATTGATCTGTAAGTGTTCCATTTCATTTTTGATGACTTCCAATTTTCCTAGATTCACACTTCTTAACGCTAAACGTTCCAATTACCGAAGAATGTTTGCAGCTGTTTCTTCTCATGTTGTTGCACCCCCACCAGCAAATGGAGGTCCTAAAGCTGTGTTCCATCTTCATCATTAAGGTCGACTGTACTTCGAGGAGACAGCTCTTCCCCAGTCATATTTTGAGTGTTTTCTAACTGGAGAGGCCCATCTTCCAGTCCTGTATCAGACACTGTTCCATAGCTACTCATAACGTTTTCAGTGGTAACCTTTCAGGAGTAACCTGCCTCAGCCTGGAAGCGGCACTGAAATCTGCCCACCGTTGGTAACACCGTGGGTAACCTTACTTGTATTTAAAATACCAGCGACACGCTTCTAGCATCATAGCAACACATAAGCCCTGACAGTATGAACAATGGCAGATGAGGGCTGGGAATTGGACGGCGGCGGGGAAACTAAAAAAGAATTCTTTCCTGATGGGTCTGTTTTACCGACTGAACTGTGTCCTCCAAAAATATGTGTGGTAAATCTTGACCTCAAAGCCTGTGGTGACGTAGCACAGGTGGTGCAGTGAGTTAAGTGCTGCGCTAACGGAAAGGCTGGCAGTTCAAACCCACCAGCCATTGAGAACAGAAATCCAAATTGGAGCAATTGCTCGAGTGGAAGGCTTTCTCTCTGAGTCATTCACATTTCAGCTTCTATTCCAAGCTTCCTTGACAACCAAGTGGCATGAGAGGGGAGCAAGATGGCTCTATGAAATAAGCAATGGACTGCGAACCACAAGGTTGCAGTTTGAGCCCACTAGGTGCTCCATGGGAGGAAAACGAGCCTGTCTTCTGTAAAGATTTACAGCCTCACAAACCCTAAGCAGGAGGGTCGACTAAGTCCGACAGGGCTGTTAGGAGCTGAACGGACTGATGGTTTCACATCTGTGGTGAACAAGGCCTGAGAGCATAGTTGGTAAGTACTCTGCTCCTAGTTGAAAGGTCAGCACTTTGAATCTACCAGCTGCTCAGCAGGAGAAAGATTAGGGAGCGGGCTTCCATGAACACTCCATACAGTCGTAGGAGTCCTACGGGCTCACTATGACTCAGAGCTGGACTAGGTGACAGTGGGTTTGGTGTCACTGTGGTTATATTCCCATCTGGACATGCATTTATTTGTTATGTTAATGATGAAACAGTAGTGTGGTCGTGTGCCATGGAGTTGGTTCTGACTCCTAGAGACCCTGCATAGGGTTTCTGAGGCTATAAATCTTTACAGGAGCAGAAAGCCTCATCCTTCTCCTGCAGAACTGATGGTAGTTTTGAACTGCTGACCTTGAGATTAGCAGCCTGACTCGTAACCACTATGTTACCAGAGCTCCTTAAACACTAGTGTAGGGGCGTCTTAAAACACTCTCTTTTGAGAAATGAAAGAACAGATTAAGCAAGCAAGCAAATAGAAGGGAAGATATATGCCATGTGGTCACCAAGGAGCCTAGGAATAGACGCTGAAAAGAAGAGTGGACAGAGAGAAAAAACGTCTTCCTCTAGAGCAGACGCTCTGAAATCAGACTTCTCATCTCTCACACTGTGAGACCAGAAGTCTGGATTCAGAGAACCTGCTCTAGGGGAAGACAGGAGACGGGACGTGCTGGCTCTGCAAGATAAGTACCAGACAGCAAACCACATGGTTGGTGGTTCGAGCCCATCAGCCACTCCATAGGAGAAAGTTGAGGCTTTCTGTTCCTGCTAAGATTTATAACCTCAGAAACCCTATAAAGGGCTGCTGGAAATGGGAACTGACTGGATGGCACGAGCAACAACAGCAAACTGTGAGAAAATAAATGTTTGTTAAAGCTACCGACTTTGTGATATTTCTTTTACAATAACACTAGACAACTAAGGCAGACTGACTGCTACCTATGAGCCTGACCTCTTAAGGCTTTCGGAACTCAAATTCACGTCTCTTCTGGGGACTGAAACCTAGTGAGTCAAAAGTCTAATGACAGCTTTGGGTGGAAGAGTCCCATGCACCTGACAGAGTTAAATAAATCTTTTCTGAAGGAATTCACTTTGAGCTAGGTCTCAAAAGAACTGCCACAAATGAATTTCCAAGGTACACAAGCTAAATAAATATCCTGAGCAATTTCAGACCCACAAAGGCTACACATACTAGGATCAGACACAAATGTTAAGAATTATGCTTAATACACGTAAAGGAATTTAAGAAGGAATTGAACTATGTCAAAGGGACAGGACACTAGCAAAACTGGTCAGTAAACTTGAAAATGAATATATAGACATGCGTATATGTGTAAATAAAATGTGTAAGGGCTTTAAAAAATTAGTGAGGAAATTCCATTATCTTTCATTCTCCTTGTCCACAACTTTCTGAAGCACCCTCAGATCTTCAAAGCAAGCTCATCATATTCAAGATGAATATAAGGTGTCAAAAACGAAAAAAATAAGATTAATTCTTTGACGTAAATGCAAAGCATATAAATGTTGTTGTTATGTGCCGTGGAGTCAGTTCCAACTCATAGCAACCCTGTACAGGGTTTCCCAGGCTATAAATCTTTATGTGAGCAGAAAGCCTCATCTTTCTCCCGTGGAACAGCTGGTAGTTTCGAACTGCTGACCGTGAGGTTCGTAGCCCGATTTGTAACCACTATGCTACCAAAACAATTAGAAAATACACAGAATTGAAAGATAATGCAAATATCACTTATTAAAACTAGTGTGACAGCTAGGATGAAGACTTCATAGCTCTGAATAGTAGCAAGAACAGAACAGGAAGAGTAAAACAACACCGGCATCTGACTGGGGCTTTCGACAGGTGATAAAAGAATAAGAGTCCTGGGGTGGCGCTGCAGGATAAGCACTGGACTGCAAGGTCGATTTGAACCAAGGGGTCAGTGGTTCAAACCCACTAGTCGCTCCTTGTAAACCCTATACAGGGTCGCTATGAGTTGGAATCGACTCGATGGCAACTAACAACAATAGACTTACGGCCACTGGGTCCTTCCGGTGAAGCTGAGCAGCTGTGACTTGTTTAAATCCACCCGGGTAGCTGATAAAAGACGTAAAAACATTAAACTAGAAGTAGGCTATGGCACAGGATTCTAAACTGAACATTTATATTAAGAAAATTATTTTTTATTATGAAATCTTAATTGCATCTGGAAACTGTGCTGTTCATTAAGTACTTTTAAAAATTAAGTAATAAACAAGGGTCTTTGAAATATTTCCTTATGTGGTCAACAATCATAAAGAGTCTCATGTCTTAAAATTTTTCTTTCATAATTGTATTTCCATCTGAATTTTAAGTTATTCATCTTCATTCTCTCACTGATTTGGGGGACAGCTTTCTTATTCCTTGAAATTAAAAGAGCAACATGCTATAATCTTTCACATTCCTTGCCAAATTAGATAAAGTGTCTGTATGAGCCAGGCATCCCTGTGCAGCAGTACAGGATAAGCACTGGACTTCTAACCTTAAGGCTGGTGGTTCAAACCCACAGCTGCTCCTTGGAAATCCTACATGGGTTGCTATAAGTGAGATGTGAACTTGATGGCACATAACAGGAGCCAGGCACAAGGTTGGGCAGAATGCTGGTGTTCCATTTGGTTCTGAAATCAATTTCACACTCCAATTAGATGACTCTGTATCCAACTGCCAGTTGACAAAGGGCCACTGGGCAGGAGCTTTACAAATCATGTGGACTCTAAGTAGTAAAATATTTCATTGTGTTAAGATCAAACATTATACATAAACTAGAGATTAGTCCATTAGAAAAAAAATTGGGGGTAATATTGGATATATTTTGGTAACTTGGATACCCAAGATGATACAGGCCCAGAATTTAGGATTTGTCAGGAGCTCCCAATATAATATATAGGAGCCCTAGTGGCACTGTGCGTTAGGCGTTGGGCTGCTAATCATTAGGTCAACAGTTCAAACCCACCAACCTCTTGGAAAACCCCCCTACTTCCCAAGGCTTTAATGAGAGTCAGATGAACAAAATGTTTGTGAGACTGCTAAAAAAAATTAAAACCAAAAACAAGACAAACAAGTTTTTATTAGCCTGAAAGATGAAAAAAACCCAAATCCTTTTCAAGAAAAGGAAACAACTCTGAGAAATGAGTTGACGCTGTAGAAACCTTCAGGTGATCCAAATCTTGATGCCTTTCCTAAATCTCTTTCAAAGAGAGACACAAACATTTTAAAGATGCTTGAACTCTGTTTTAGAAATAAAATGTCAGAATTATATCTGAATTCTTATTGAAAAAGAAGGATGATTTTCAAACTGATAGTCTTTTATTCATTTAGTGGCATTTCAGTTGCAGGCAAAGAAATACCTGTCTAGACTTCCAGTCAGTCCTGTGTGCTTTTTCTCCATGGAAAAAACGACTTTCTAACTTCTACACTAAAAATGATCTTTCTATTTTTAACAGATGGCAAATTCTACAGGCACGCGACCATTTACACTGTATGTCAAGAGACTGGAATTTATCCTGGCAGATCTGAAATGCTAATGAAAAATTCAGAGTCAGGGGATGACTTTAGTAATGCAATGCTCAGCTGACTTTCACTGTTAAAATCTAACTAGACTTCTTCCTCCAGAACAGCCCAGCCTGGAGGGAATAGCAGAAAATTGGTCTGAAACACCAACCAAGCATTTTTCAATTCAAATAAATTCAATAAACACTTGTTATGTGCCATCGAGTCAGTTCTGAATCATAGCGACCCTGGATAGGGTTTCTGAGGAGGTGGCTGGTGGATGTGAACCGCAGACCTCTCAGGGTGCCGATCCAGCTGTGCTACACTGGGACTCCTTACCTTTACGTTCTGCGCAGGGGGTACACAGGTTAAGTACGACAGGATTTTGTCCTCAAGAAAAATCACTAAGTTGTGTTGAGATAATAATCTTTGAAAATACATTTTATTTTCTTTTAAAATTCTATCATTAGAATTTTTAACGTAATATATATATTGGATCTCTTCCATGAAACTGTGATGATCTTACCCAGTATGTGAGGAATATACTTTTTGCTCCCATTTGTTTCCAGAAAATGCAATGTGTCTTGTGTTCATTATGACAACATGGTCCCCACAATCACCTAGATTGAAAAAGACACAAGGAAGAAAGAGATTGTATATGAGAAATCATGACCTTGGTAATTTGTAAAGCTTATCCAAGTCCAAACAAGACATTAAAAAATAAAGCAAGATTCACCGAAGACCCACCTGAAAGAGGGATGTCATCTGCATCTCCATTGAAGCCCCCCCGCCTCCGGCAAGAGCACCAAGGAACCAGCCACAGCAGAGAAGACTTTAAGAACTGTTTAACCCTTAGGGAACTGGTTAAACCTCAGAGACATTCTGCTGCTTTGCTTGT